TCTCACCGAAACAACAGAGACAACAGTTCCAGCAGAAGACCTCAGTAAACCTTTTGAACCGGTAGTACAGATATTACCAACAGAAGATACTTCACGCCTGGTACCTGGTTACTTTACCAGCAGTGATGTTTATCATGCATACAAACAACCAACTGGAGCAGCGATTGAACAAGAACCAGATTCTTCCAATGTCATCGATAAAGCCACAGCTATCGTCTCTACGCTTATTTCCAGTATCACTAGCGCTTCACCAACATCGAAATCTCCTGACGAACAGCTTTTAACTAGTGAATCACCCATCATCGGTGAATCAACTTCACCTGGATCTGTCAAAGAAAAAGAATTTACACTTCCAAGACCATCTTCAGATGAACAACATGTCGAGCATGAGCAATCATTATCAACTAGTCTCTTAGAAATGATGACGAATTTGTTACCATCATCGCTTCAATCAAAACAAATACAAGAGATCAGTTCTGAAACACCACTGGCACCAACTAAAGATGAACAAAAAACTGTTTCATCTGCTGTGATGAGCACGCCAGATACTAAACCACATGTCGAGATGCCAAAAGTACAAGATATTCCTAGTTCTGTAGCAGGTTATTTCAGTAGTAGTGATGTTTATCATGCATATAAACAACCGGTGGAACCAATGATTGAAGAAAAAGCACTGGAATCGTCCAGTATTGTGGAGAAAGCAACGTCAATCGTCAGTGATATTATTATTAGTCTCACGAGTGCTTCACCAACATTGTCATCCCCGGACGCAACAACTCCAACTAGTGAATCACCTATCGTCGACAAATCGGTTTCATATGCTCCTGTTACCAAAGAAGAAGTCACTATTTCAAAATCATCACTCGTTGAACAAGATATCGCGCAAGAACAAACAACGACGTCTAATATATTAGACAAACTAAAAACTGTATTACCATCGAGTTTCACATCAACAAAAATAGAACATATTACTTCTGATGAATCAGTTCCTGCTATGAAAGGAGATCAAGCAGCTGTTCCATCTTCTCTCAAAGAAACAAGCGTCACAACAGTTTCTAAAGAAGGCCTAACTGAACGTACTGAACCACAAGTCGACATTCAAGGAGAAAAAGTAATTTTAAGTCCAGTAGCTGGTTACTTCAGTAGTAGTGATGTTTATCATGCATATAAACAACCAATAGAACCCATAATTGAACACAAAACAGATTCATCTAGCGTTATTGATAAAGCTACAACTATTGTCACCGATATTATCTCCAGTCTCACCAGTGTTTTACCAACAACAGAAACAACTGAAGACTCAACTTCCACTATTAAATCGACGATCGTGCCTGATCAAGTTTCAACTCCAGTTGTATCAGAATTAGAAATTAGTGTTGTAAAACCATCTTTAGATGAACAGCACATTGAACATGAACAAACAACGGCAACCGGTGTATTAGATAAACTGAAGACTTTCTTACCATCTGGTCTCATATCACCAAAAACAGAACATATCATTTCTGAAAAGCCAGTTTCAGATATGAAAGAACACCAAGTACCTATCACATCGTCTTTTACAGACACATCAGTGACAACTGTTTCTGGAGAACATCTAACAAAACCTACCGAATCGATCGTTGAAACCCCTGAAGCCGTAGTGATTTCAAGTCCAGTAGCTGGTTACTTCAGTAGTAGTGATGTGTATCATGCATACAAACAACCAATAGAACCCATAATTGAACACAAAACAGATTCATCTAGTGTCATTGACAAAGCTACAACCCTCGTCACGAACATTGTCTCCAGTCTCACCGGTACTTCACCAACATTGGAACCGACTGAAGCTACTTTAAGCAGCCAAGTACCAATCGTTGATGAAAAAATTCCATCTGCATCTGTCACAGAAAAAGAAGCTCCAATTCTAAAGCCATCTTCAGATGAACAACATATCATGCATGAGCAGAAATCATCAACTGGTCTGTTAGAAATAATGACGAGCTTGCTACCATCACCGTTCCGATCAGCAAAAATACAAGAAGTTTCTTCCGAAACACCAAGTAAAGCTAGTAAAGGTAAAGAAGACACTGTCGTATCCTCTATGACAGGTACAGCAGAGACCACAACAGCTAAAGAATATCTAACAGAAGTCGCTAAACTAAAAGTTGAGATACCAAAAACTAAAGAAATCCAAGAAGAAAAATCAACTACGGGTTTGATTGAAATTGTGACGAGTGTTCACGCAACGAATATTCTACCTGCTACATCCACTTCAGTTAATATTGAAGAAGATATTGAAACTGGTGATGATAAAGAACCTATGTCACTATCCATAAGTGAGGGAAAGACTACATCAGAAATTTCTCAGAAGTCTTTGACGGAAAGTAGTCTACCAGTGGTGGAAATTCAACAACAAAAAGATGTTAGCAGTCACAGTCTAAGTGACACAACAGAGTCGGATATTTCTCCTGCAGAAAAACCAACTATTGAACAAGTTATTACAGAAAAAGATTCGACAAGTGGCACTGACGAAGGTATATCCTCGATAACAGGCACACACTCTGGAGTTCCGTATATTTTACCAACATCGGTTTCTTTAATCAATACACATCGACAAGGCTCACTATCTGAAGATGATCAAACAGAAATGTCTGAATCAAGTGTACGTGAATATAACCTTTTTTTCAATGAGACTATTTCATTTTTTCTATTATAGTTACAAACACCATCAACTGATGAACCAAAACATCATGGGGTATTTGATCTTATTGTACGACCTGCAGCAAGTTTGGATGAAACAGCATCAAGTCTACTGTCTCTCGATGAAAAATCGACCACTCTTGAAATTTCATTCATTTTACCAGAAAACTCCATTGATAATCAATTGGAAAGTTTAAATGTTAATGAAGCAAAAGAAACTTTAATTGAAACTGCTAAAGAAATTCTTGCAGCTCCTTTACAATCTGCTGTTGATACGTATGAAAAAATAATTTCAACACAAGAACAATTATCATCACCAACCGTTAGCCCAACTAAAGTCGTTACTACTGATTATCCTTCGTTGGCAAAACAAGATACTATTACTGATTCTGTAATCGAACGTCTTTCGACTACCGACCAACGATCAATTGATGAGTTGGATAAACATAAATCTATTCCAAGTATTACAGAAGAAACAAAAATACAAGATCAAATTGAAAAGAAACCATCTCAACAACTTCAAGTTATTGGTGATGACTATCCATGGTATTCAAGTCATTATATTCTTGTTGATGCAGATGAAAAAATGGGTCAATTATACGACAATTTATCTTATACTCTAAAACAACTGGAACAACGACCTCTACCAACAACACTCGAGTTTTCTCCTGAACCACATGAAAAAGTTCCAATACCAGATTATGATCGTCAAGTATTAGATGAAACAAAAGATACACGAGAAAAAGTACATGAATTAGCTGAAATAAGTACAATAATTACAACAACCATAACTGCATCACAAGATGAACAAATCAAAGATGAAAATGAACTTCAAGTTGTACATCATCGTAAACATGAATCATCAACAACAGTTCACGAAAGAACACCATCGCCTAAAATGGTTACGACTAAAGCAATTATTAGTCCAGATATCGATCTCGTACCAGCAGTTCTTCAGGGTCGTCCAGTTTCACCAATCAGTACTTCAGAAAGTGTCTCACAAACTACTACTACTACTGCTTCAAGTAGTACGAGCAGCAAGAAAAAACCTAAAAAACAAAAGAAAGATAGAAAAGAAATAGTTTTAGTCGATGCTCCTATACCAACAATATCTGATACCGACAAAGGTAAAACAGATGTTGTACAATCAGAAGTGGTATCAAAACATATGGAAACAACTAAATCTGAACTATTACCATCGATTACTACAGATGATTCTCATGAAATTGATCAACCGTCAAAAGAAATTAAACATGAACTCGGTGAACCATCAGAAGCAATAAAACATGAAATTGAACAATTAATTCAAACAATTGATGAATTCAAACAAAATTTAATCGATACAACAAATGAAGAACAACACGGTGAACTTTTATCAACATCCATCGTCTCTGATAATGTAGAACCAGAACAAATAGATGATGATAATAATGATTCAACATCTTCGGACGCTTCACAATGGTTATCATCTTCATTTACAACTTTTCCTGAAGATAACAAACTTGATACTCAACCTTCTATTACTGAACACGCTATTGTAACACAAACATCGACGACGATTTCTTCAGCTGATCATGAATTGACAAAATCAGAACCATTACGAACTGCATCACCAACTAAAAAGAAGAAGAGTAAACAACAATCGATCAATCAAGAAAAAATTCAATCGTCTGAAATTCAAACATCACAATTAACTATTGAACAACCACAAGTCGAATCTAAACCAACTCCAACAACAACAACACCGCCACCACTCGTAAAAACGATAACAACGACTATCACTGCTAAAATTTCTAGTTCACCAGAAGAAGAAGATATAGATGACAATGAAGGTTTTCAAGTTGTACGTCATCGTAAACATGCACCATCGACAACAGGACAGGAAAAAACTCTACCATCATCAACAACAATTACGTCTAAACAACGATCTAGTTCTGATATTGATTCTAAACATGCAAATGCTCAACGACGTCAAGTTTCTTCGATACCTGTTGCTACGTCTAAAATTACTACAGGTCCACAAACTACCACAACTAAACCAAAACATAGAACACACAAAAAGGAAACAACATTATTTGATGCACCAGCATCTTCAACATCCACTGATACTGATGCCATTTCGTCATCTAGTATTGATAACAGCAAACATAAACAAATTGAACAACAACAACAACCAATAGAACAACATAAAACTATTAGTAGCAGTACATCACAATCAAAACCTTTATCATCAGTAGTATTAACATCTAACATCAGTCCATCATTACCAATAGAAGTAGAAAGTAAACAACAACCAAAAGAAGAAGAAAAAACTTTACAAACTCAAACTCCATCATCAACAATATCTACTGTTCAGGAAACAAAAGTAAAATTAGAACCGACAAAATCTTTACCAACAATGACAACACTTCGTCTAAAACCATCGACTTCACCCGACGAAGAAGAAGGAGAAGATGATGAAGATAATGAAGGTTTTCGAGTAGTTCACTATCGAAAACGTATATCATCAGCACCAAGATTAGATAAAACATTACCACCATTACCACCACAAACACATAAACAAAATCTTGGTCGTAGTTTTGATCTTAAACCTGTTATTATTCATGGACGTCAGGGGTCAGGATCACGTTCTATGCCACGTACAACTACTGGTAGTCAAATATCTTCTCATAAACCCCAACAAACTAAATCTAAACAAGATCGACAACAAATGCCACCATTAAATATACCACGTTCGCCAACTTCTAAAGAAACACATATTATGTCATCCTTTAATATCGAACAGAAACCAATAGAACAAGTAAAACAACCAGTTAGTGATCAAGTTCGACGAACAAGTGATACTACTACAATTCAATCAACGTTTATTGAGCAAAAACTATCGAAAGAAATTGAACAAGTACAATCAACAATTATTGATAAAAAACCACAATTAACATATTTTGAACAACCAACTATTGTTCCTGTTGTAGACTTGAAACCAGTAGAACAAAATGAAACTGAAACAAATCTTGAACCAGTACATGCCACCGTTTCACCTGTCGTTGACCAATCTATTCAACAAATTGTTCATGAATATATTGAACCAACTAAAGATGAGACTAAACAGGTCGTTCAACAACAACAGCGGCCTTCAATAAAAGAACAAATTCCATCAGCAGTGACTACTACTACTATCACTACAATTGAAACTCAAAAATCTACAATTACTGAAGATGATGATGATGATGGATTTCGTGTAGTACGTTATCGTAAACATGCACAGCCTCCAACAATCATTTCCAAACAACACAGTTATGGTTCTGATACTGAGAAAAAATCTGCTACTATTTTGAAAAAACAAATTTCATCATCATCATCAATACCAACTACACCTACATCCACTGTTTTACATACGACGACACCGAAGAAAAAAACACCAAAAAAAACGAAAGAGACAACTGTTAAAACTGATATTACTTCACCTGTTGATATTCTTTCCTCATCTACTACTGATACTGATCTTATTTCATCATCGAAAGAAGAGTCTGCTAAACGAACAACAACTACTAAACATGTACAAAAAGTTATCGAATCTCAAATTACAACAAAAGATGTTTCTTCTGTTCATCCAGACAAAGAAATAACAATTCCTACAGAAGATCATAAATCAATTTCATCAGTAAACCTTCCTGAAACTGTACAAAAAACATCCGATGATACACAAAATCAAATACAATCAATTGAATCAGCAACATCACCATCAGTAACAAGTGCTGATACAAGTGAAGAATTATTAAAAAAACCTAAGAAAAAACATAAACGATCAAAACGAGAATCTATTGGAGTAGATATATCGACACCATCCGATGAAATATCCAGTACAATTGATGATCTTTCAACAAAAAAACTAATGACATCTTCTAGTCCATCTCAATCATTTAGTCTTGATATTCCACTAACATCAACTCCAATTGAAGATAAATCCGATAAAGTTTTATTAAAAGAAGAAGTTCCTTCACAACAAACAGTTGAACCAATAACACCAATAGATGATGAACAGATTAAGACAACAACAACTAAAAAACATACAAAAAGACGAAAGAAAAAACCACATACTCATGAAAAACAAGATCAAGATGAAGATTTATTAAATTCTTCAACAACAAGTACAACAGATAAAGATAGTAGTAGTGCAGCTGGAGTAATAACAACACCAATGAAATCAACTTCTCGTGAATCTAGTACTAAAATTCGTTTAATAACTGATGATGATAAACAAGAATCAGAATGGATAACACCACATAATAAAAAGAAAAAATCAAAATTAATTGAATCAACAATAACAAAAACAGAACCACATGAACAAAAAGTATCACTCTCTCCTCAATCAACTTTACATTCAACCACAACAACGACAACAACAAAAATTCTGCCAGAGAAAGTAACTGATGTACAATTTAAATTTAAGAAAGGTGGTGAATTAACAGTAACAAGTCAATTACCATTAGAACGTTCACCAACTGAGTGGGGTACAGTCAAATTTATATCCGAAGAATCATCAAATCTGATACAACAAGATAAACATGATTCATCGATTGAACAAACTCCATTAGAAGAATTACCTATTGAAAAAGAATCTAAAATTGAACAAACAATCGATTCAACTGGTCAAATTGATAATGAAACTAAAGATGAAACAACAACAAAATCAATGGAAAGTAGTGAAACTGGTGGTGAAGCTGATTTAGATGCATATCGTGATCAAACAGGTCGTCTTCGTCCGAAAAAACCACGTAAACCTGCAAGTACATCAAGTAAACCTGATGATATACCTCCAACTCTTGAACCACAAACATCGGAAGAAATTAAACTTGATCATAAAACTATAAGTGAACATTGGGCTGCTGCTATAGAAAGTCCGGTATCGAATATAGATGAAGAACAAAAAATTCAAACAGAACAAATTTATGAAGAACAATCATTTGAAGATGATGATACTAGTGAAAGAAATAGTAAATTAGATTCATTTTTACCTGAATATATTCGTCAAACGATAAAAACAAAATCACTACGTTCATCATCATTAAATGATGATCGTTCAAAATTATCATCAACTCATGATACATCAACATCTATTACACATACGCGTTCAACGAGTATCGTTTTTCCATCATCATCAAATCGATCAACAACAAGTACTGATGATACATCAGAAAATGAAAGTCGAAAACATTTACGAGAATCTGTTGATGAAGAATTTCACTCAACAGAAGATTCAAGTTTTATTTCAACAACAAATCAAACAGAACATGATACAATGGGAACATCATCTTCATTACCTCCAACTGGTAGTACACGTAAGAAAAAACAACGACCAAAAATGTTAAAAAAAGATATCGAAGCTAAAACCTTATTAACACATGAATTTGATGATACACCATTAACAATAACTGAAATTCAACCATCATCATCATCATCAATAATAGAAACAACAAATAAAAGTGATGAATCATTTTTATCATCTATACGTCATCAATTTTCTTCGGCTATGTCAACAATAACTGATTCATTTAGTTCTGCACTTTCTCTTCATAAATCAACAACAACAGATGATCAAACAATTGTTCAATCTGATGAGCCAGTGCCATCAACAGAAGAACAATCAATTATTCCTATTACAACATCTACAGAATCAACAATAATAACAACAAAGAAAAAACCTTCGACACGTTCACCACGTAAACGTTCAAAACGAGATAGTGGTCCTGACTATGAATATTTAACAAGTCCAACATCTGATGATATTGAACAATCATTTTCTGGTATTAAAGTTGTTACAACAATTCCAACATCAATTGATAATGATCAAACAGATTTTATTAAAGTAGAAAATCATAAACAACAACCAAAACAACGAACATTATCGGGTAGACATTCATCAAACACTGAAGAAAATAATGAACAACAAGCTATATTAGCTGATGATGAAGAAGATGAAGATTTTGCAACAAAACCTGTTGTATTACATGGAACTGGTATTGATACAAATATTCAAACACCAATTGAATCAATTGTTGCAGAACAAGATTCATCTGCAACAACCACAACAACAAAAAAAAGACGTCATAAACAAAAGAGTAAAACTGAAGAAGTTGAGTTTACTGCACAAGCACCAGATGAATTAAAACCTGATAAACAAGATACTGTATCTGACCAGCAAACAACATCAATGACAACAACAACAAACGAACAGTTACGATCAGTTCAAGGTTTTCATTCTTATACACCAAATAAATATCAATATAATCAATATGAAGAAGGATCAACTAGTTCCGCTGACCAAACACCACTATCACCACTATCACCACCACCACCGCAACCATCACCACCACCACCAACAACAACAACAGCAACCACAGACAATAATGATAACATTCTTGCACGTGGTTTTAATCTTTGGTTACAACAAAGTAAAGAAATAGAATCGACATCATCATCAGCAAAACAAGATGAATCATCAGCAATAGGTAGTGGTTTAACACGTGCTATGCAGAGTCTTATTATTCAACCAGTCGAAACTGATAATGATGAAGATGAAGAAGACTCATGGAATGGACCACGAGCTAAAAAACCAACATATACATCAGGTGTTCAAATTGAGAAACGTATTCATACAACAAGTGGATATAATATCAATCATCCACGTTCAATAACTGTTTCACCATGGCTAATGCCACAATCGAATGAAAATTCATATCAAGATGATCAATCAAAATATGATCCGGATGATGAAGAAGATTCAATGAATGATGTATCAGAAAAACAACAATTATCTCATCCAATTAGTACACAATTATCAACCAAAGAAGAACGACAAAAGCATTTAAATAATTTAGCTGATTTAACATTTCAAGCAACATTAGGTAATTTATCATCATCTTCATCATCATTATCATCAGCAGCAGCAGCTAAATGGAATGAAACATCTATACGCAGTGATGATAATAGTCAACAACAAGCAAGTTTTACTGATGATGATGTACAACGTTGTTTAGGAGAAGATTTTTATCGTGAATCATTAGCTGCAGATACACTTAAAGCCGAACAACGAACTATTACAAGTTTAGATGGTCTTGTTTTAAAACCATCTCTATTATCAGAAGAAACAGACAATGATGATAATGATAATGATAATGATAATGATAATGAAAATGATGATGACGATGATGACAGTCAAAGAAATAGAAATAATAATAATAATAATAATAATATTAGTCACTCAATGAATTTCGATGAATGGGCACATTTTCTTGAATATGAATATGATCAGCAATTGTTTCCATCATCTGGACCATCTTCATCGACTATTGAACAAAATTTATTAGCATCATATGAATGTTCATATGCACGGGAATTAGATGACGATACTCTTATATCGGATGCAGATCGATTACATGTCATAGATGATATACAACATACCAATGACAATGAAAGACAACGTTATGGAGATTTTACATTATTAGATGATGATTCTACTATACTTGAGTCAATGATTAATTGTCCTTTATTATCATCAAATCCCAATTCACAATCATCACATAGACATAAACCTTCCGAAACTTTTCAAAGATGGAGAAATCAATCAAATCGTGAACGAGAAGAATCGAATTTAAACTTATCAAATGTAACAATTTTAACTGCAAATCAAAATGACGATGAAATATTTATATATCATACAGACGGTGGTCTTAGTCGACGAGTGAGACCCACAACATAAAATATTTACTGATTTCCTTTACTTTTCTTTTTTTTTTACCTTCTCACCTCATAAATTCTTTGCCTTTGTCTTTTTTTTCTTGCGTTATCTGTTTTTTTTTTTTCTTTATTCTTTACTCACTCTTTCTTCTCTTTTCTTTCTCATATCGCTCTTTAATCTAGTCGATCAACAGATTCATTCTTAACTGAACAGACAATTTCATACGCAAGAAAAACTTCTTCTTAATTATCAAAATCGCCTATGGCCAATCAAAATACAAACGGATACATTTTATCTAAACATTCCGGTCTGGGTTTTACGTGTCAATGTACTTTCAATCATAATTCTGAAGAACACTTATTAGTATTCTTCATATTTTGCTGTATTAATGGCAAGTATTACTGTTTTTCTTATCTTTATTATTACTTAAACTGTTTTCTATTATTGAAATCGGTGACATTATTGTTTATATTTTTCTATAAATTGCAAAATATGCGAAGGCATAAATAGATCTTCGTGAAACATAAGTAAGCACATCTATATCCTTTATACAACATATGGATATGGTCAATTCATTAAATTTTTTATATTAATTGTTATTTGTTATACTATCAATTCATGTATTAATTATTCTGATCCAAGTTTTTTTTTATCTTATTGAACAATAATGACATTAAAAATTATTAAATGACACGATTACAAGAAGAAGTTATTATTATAAAAAAAAATGAACTATTAAAATAAACATTTCGCTTATCGTGTAATTCTTTTTATACTGTTTTGTGTTTTTACTTGCGTGTGTCACATGCGGAATATTATTTGCTTGTGCTCTGTATTTGTCAATTTTTTCCCTCTGTCTGTTATTCACTCATTCATCACACACAGTGTCACATTTCGTTTGGTTTTCTTTTTGTTTTGGCTTTTTTTATTCATTTTTAGTTGAGTTGATTAGATTAAGAGAGAAAGAGAAAGTGAATAATAATATAATAAAACTCGAAACACTTGCAAAATACAAAAGAATTTATATGCTTATTCAATATATATATATGTATATCTTTCTATACTTAGACATTGGATCAATTTTCATCCTCTGCATCTATTTATCATCGATGAGCAATTATCGGATTCGTATGGATCGAATATCTCTTTTTAATCCTCTTTTTTTTTCAATGTATTACGTCAATGTTATCCTAGAGTTGTACGCTCATAACACATACATATTCGTGATAACGCACGTTAGATGCATATTCGATGTTATTCATAATTTAAAAGCAAGAATTTGCTCTTTTCTTTTATTATGAAATTATATGCAAATTCAATATAATGTTCTATAAAAAAAAACGAAGTGAACACACACACTTGTTACTTTGATAAATCACACGTTATACCACAAAGGTGAAAAAAGTTAATGAATAAATACAAGAGGATTTATCACATGTGTTCGATGAATTACATTTCGTTATTGAATTGCATAAATAAATATTTGTCTTTATAATAATAAAAAAAACTATAACATTTTTTAAATGGGTTATTTATAATAGAGAGAGAGAGAGAAAAGAAAATGCATATCAGAATTTCTCATAAACGAACATTCTTTATATAACTATTAGTAAAAAAAACCTCAACTATATCTCGAATTTTTTTCTTTACTTCGGCCTTTATTTGTCCATACTATATGATGATACATCTGGCTCTTGATTATGACGTATGTAACGCTTATGCATATGTCAACAACCATTGACTTTAGTTTAGCGAGGTCGATGTGTCTATAGTTCTTATTGATGATGATGATGGCGACGACAACAACAACTAGTAAAGTAATCGACAACCAACATTCTTGATAGATGATTGCTATGGATAAGCATAAGTATGATTGCCAACGAGCGAGGTCTATGTTGAAAGCTTCATTGCTCTTCCGAGTTTCATATGTTCTATTTTTACATATATCTGCGTCGTTTTGTTCCTCGTTTGTATGATTACAGCATCGAAGAAAACAATAACTGCATTGTAGGAAAGAAAGAAAATGCATGCGTGATATAACCATTTCTTTTCTTGTACTAAGACATTTTTTAGTGTAACACATAGGAGAAAAAAGCAAGGATATAGGTAGAAGGGAATTCATCGTATTCATTCACACATCTATCCTATGAATGATTTGTATTCTTGAATTTTTTTTTTCTTCAATACAATGATCATTATTGAAATACTAATAGAAATCCTTCATGTCAAATTAAATTAAAGTTTCCATTTTATTCGACAATTATTATTACGTATATGTATATTTATCGCAAAGACAACGATAATAGAAATATATTTTAATTTTAACATTCAAATTGGCACTAGACTGCTGAATATCAAGGTAAGTAAATGGTATATATATACACATATATATTCTTCTATTGCTACTACCATTGCATTGAATTCACATGTGGTTTCAGTATATAAACGAAAAAAAAAGAGAAGCAATGGATGCCAAACGTTAAGTTGAAAGAGAACGAACAATAACATACGTAAAATTTTGAGGAGAGAAGAGAATAGAATAGAATTGTCGGATCAATTTATTTCGACAGTATTGAAGTGAAGGTTTCTCACGCCCACTGGATGTGCTTATCAAATGGTTGATTTTTTTTTTCTTTTCATAGAAAGGTATTTTCTTAATTTGTCATAAATAGAAAAAGAAAAGTTTTATATAAGTATGATCTATTGAATATAATTATTCTTGTGCACGAATTCACTTTTTTTTGTCTCTAATATTACATCATTTATTATCAATGGATTTGTTACTGGTTGTACCATTTAGTCGATTCAGTATCCAACTGAGGCAAATGAGCCAATCCGGATTTCTATTACATCGTAGCTTGATAATGGAAAATACCGAGATAAAGAATATATTAAAGAACAAGAAGGAAAGAATAAACGATAGTTCTTATGTTCATCGGATCCTTCTCGTTGTCTTTACTATACATATATAGATGATATATATATATATATATATATTTCTTTTGATTGTCTGTCTATACATATAATGATGCTCTTTTCCTACAAGTCGACAACGAAAAAGAATGACAATCTGTAATAATACTCCCGTCATCTTTTTCGTCGTCATTTATCCTTCCTTTTCGTCGTCGTAGTCGTCGTCTTTCGTTTCTCGCATATAAACGCACGCACATACTTAAGTATAACAGAATGAAAAGAGCCTGTTATATGGTTTTAAGTTCATAAAACGAGCAAAGAAAGATATGAGGTGATTGATTTCGTTTCATTACCTGTCTTCTTTGCTGTATACGTTTTTTTTCCTCATCATACACTTTCACATTCTGTATATATAAATGTTTGTCGGAAAATGGTGATGTATGATACAGTGATACCTTCAACAAATTCAACAAAAATTTTTTATCTTGTACGAGAAGAAACAATATATACATATGACAGAGATGACAATAACAATACTGATAATGTATCATCAAGAGGTAGGTTTAATTTTATATAATTAAACAAAGAAAGAAAGGGATTTGTTTGTGTTTTTTTTCTAATTTCAAGACAAAAAAAGAAATTAATATCAAGGTATAAATTATAGTCTAATCCTTTTTGAGTAGACATAGTCACTTGAGAATGGGATCACTACATATATATGTCTAAACAATTATTGTTAGAGAAGGAAGACAAGTGTTTCATGAGCTAAGTGAATGTTCTTATGTTGACTGTCTTGTCTTTCTTGTGCTCTATGCCTGTCTAATCCTTGCCTCTCTTTTTCAGTAATCCTCGATTTACATTAGTCATATGATCGTCATCATCATCTCCCGACAGCCACAAAAAGTATGCTGCTGCTGTGCAGATAGCATCCGTCACATCATTTAATATGATTGCGAGTGATCACCTTGCCATCATATGCACGTATTGTATATGGTATAGAAGTGTTCGTGTTCTCTTCTCTTTCTTGTTCTCTTATATTTTTTTTCTGCTGTTGTTGTTTTTATTATGGTAATAGTGCTGAGTGCAAGACGATGCTGCTTCATCTTCTTCTATTTTTTCTACATACATCTTGTATTCAGGCTAGATATGTATGTATGGCAAGAGGAAGAGATAGAACAAAAGAAAGAAAGAAAAGATATGGAATTGTACAATGACAGGAACAAATCCCTTCTGTTTTCTTTACTATGCGAATCGACGCATATTCGTCTTCCGCATCTTTTACATCTTTCTCTTATAGTGTAACCAAAGATAAATGTTTATTTTGTGCGTTGAAGCTCAGTAAGAAAAGAAGTGCAACAAGTCATCTTATTCCTTAAACAGAATATTACTTAAACACTAACACTATATCATGAGTCAATAGTCTAATAGTCGACAAACCTCACATATATATATATATATATATATATATATATCTATATTTTTGTTTTACATTCATTTATCCTCTAGAAAAAACACTGATAGGTAAAATAACAAAAGAAATAATTTTTATATAAAAAAAAAATATTATTATTCTTTTTGTTTTTCTCTTTCGTCTTTTAGACACGCCCGAGATTATGAATATTAATCAATCATTATCTTCTTCTTTATCTCGATCACTAAATGATCCTATACATGAACAACATATTGTAAAAGAAGAATCACATTTAGAACGTAATGTACCGGAAAGTTATCATCATTCATCTTATGAATATATATCTTCGAGTGTTGGCGAAGGAAATATTAATCAATTGTCACCGTCAACGAATCTTTCCTCTCATCAACGAACATCATCTCCATCACAGAAATATCCTAATAAATATGTCACATCATCATCTTATAGTCCAACATCTTATCGATATCCACCAGCATCGATCATCGATGAAGCAACACATACGACTTATTCAAACAATCGATCAATACAGCAACAACAACAACAACAATTATTAACAAGTCCACATTCAACTTATGTTCCTCAACATAATAATAACAATAATAATAGCACGAATCGTCATTCATTACATCCAACAACATCAGATGATTCAGGAAATGAGTCATCTGTAAATTATCAA